CTTTTATGCCATCCACTTGAATAATTGGCAAGTTTATCAAACTGCCACATACCAAAATTTGTGATTTATTCCTATTTATATAGGTCCCTGATGCATTTTCAAATTGTACAATAACATTCATGGATACACATAAAGAATAGTAATCCCTTAAAGTCAACAGTGCATCATCTGCAAACCCCTTATATTTTTGTTCCTTATTTGCTATATTTATGAAACCTCTTATCTCTGTATTACTTCTGATATTACATGCAAATACTTCAGCAATGAATGTATAAAGTATTGGAGACAGTGGACAGCCTTGTCTTAAACCTCTTTCTACTATAAATTCCTTGCCAATATATCCATTGGTTATAATCCTTGACTTTGTATTTGTATAAATTAGTTTTATAAAAGATATCCATGTTGGCCCAATATTAAATTTTTCTAAAACTTTAAACAAAAATTCCCTATCTACACTATCATATGCCTTTTCCCAGTCTATTGAGAACAACAGCAGATCAGTTTTAGAATAATTTGCATGGAAGATATCATCTCGAAATGTCAATAAATTTTCATGTATATTTCTGCTATATATAAATCCAGTTTGATCTGGATGAATCAGTTTGGGGAGTTCGTATTTAATTCGGTTGCCTAATATTTTAGTAAAAATTTTATAATCTAAATTGAGTAACGAAATTGGTCTCCAATTAGCTAATTTTTTTTTTCACCTTTTTTATATAATAAAGTAATTATTGCCTCTGTCATAGTTTCGGTGAGTTGTCCAGAAGCTATACAGCTGCTATATACAGCGAGTAAAATAGTTTTAATTTTATTCCAGCATAATAGATAAAATTCCTTTGTAAGGCCATCCAGGCCAGGAGCTTTATTTAGTTTCAAACTTTTAAATGCATCATCTAATTCTTGTTCACTTATACCATATTCCAAATTAATCATTTTTTCATACTCCAATTTGGTTTCGATTTTACTAATCAAAGTATTTTGCAAGTCCTCATTCAACTGTTTTTTAGTGTACAACTTTTTGTAAAATAATCTCTGCTCTTCTTGTATATCATTAATATTCGTAAGGATTATACCAGCATCTGTCTCCAATTCTTTAAAGAGTTTAATTTGCCCCCTATGTTTCTCTAAATTAAAAAAATAAGAAGTAGATTTTCTCCTTGTTCATTCCATCTTATTCTACTTCTTATAATATTCCCTTGCACTTTCTTTTTGATAAATTATCCAACTCTATTTTTAATAATTCAACCCTATGTTTTTTCTCTATATCGAACTTATCTTTTTCATAATTAACCAGAGCATTCTGGTATTTATTGATGACAAGTTTTTCTTCTGCTTCCTCCCTAATTTTTAAACATTTGCCACAGTATATTGCCCAATGCTTAATTTTCCTTTTGATCCTATCCCACATTTCCCTAATTACCAGATTATCACTACACTGTGAAAATTCATTCTTCCAATGGGTCATCATAACGTCAATACCATTTACAAAAGTTTCATCATTGCATAGTCTAGCATTAAATTTCCAGTAACCTCTACCTCTTTTAATGTTATCATCCACATGTATGTGAATTATAGGTATATCATGGTCTGATATACTTTGTGCTAGTATCACCGCATTCTCAATATTTGGTATCAAGGTTTTTGAAATATAAAATCTATCTAATCTCCTTTGTCTTATTGGAATATCCTTGCTGTTAGTAATTTGCCTCCAAGTATATTTCCTATCATGTGGGTGAGTGTGTCGCCAAATATCTAGTAAGTTATATTTGGCTATAACATTTTCTAATACCTTAACACTATTATCTACAACCAGTTTTGAACCAATTTCTTTATCTAATAAGTTACAAATACAATTAAAATCACCACCCAGTATTATTTTATAACTATTCCAAATATTGTTATTTTTAAGGAATTCTTCCATTTTTTGATCTAATTCTTTAAATGTATCCCGTCTATGTTGCAATACATTTGGTGAATATAAATTAGTTAAAATAAATGTATAATTTTCAACTATGAAATGGCACAATATTATTCGTCCCTCTTTATTGTCAATAAATTGGCACTGTTTGATATTGATATCTAATTGTTTACTGATTAATATTGCTACACCATTCCTAGTATTGGAATAGGTTGTCCAATATCCAATACCCCCCCATTCCCTATTCCATTTTTTCACATCAGATTCATTCCCACAATGTGTTTCTTGTAAGAATACTATGTCCAATTTTTGTTTTTTGATAAATTTGAAAATGGCTATTCTTTTTGGTTCATTTCTAATACCTTTAACATTGTATGATGCAATGCTGATTTTGTTAAGTTTAGTTTTCATACCCATTCTCTGATTCAAGTATTAAGCACTAAATTACGACATTCCAAATAGAAAAATAAAATAACGAAAAAGACAATGAACAAAAGCATTTTCATATTACCTTAAGCAGTTCAAGTTGTGACAATCTGATAATCCTCGCCTGCTACGTATGCATTTTCGGGTATTTGAATTTTGGATCTTACTGCTTCTGGGCTAGATAACTTCCTCCTTCTTGTAATAGGTGTTTCCCATCCCAGTTCTTTCTCCAGGTTATTTAGAATTTCTTGAGCACCCTTGAGGTTGATATGGATATAGAAGGTTTACGAGCACGTAACTGTATCTCTCAAACACGTGCGATTCATGGAAGATCTTGTAAAAACTTTCGCTCATCCTCGATATCTTACACACGATCGTCGTTGAAGAAAACCACGTCTAATCACTCGCAATCGTCAGGATAGAATTCAATTTACATATTTATCCCGGGGAGTGGGAAGTCGATAAAGCGGCTTAATCATATGGCGAATCACGGCCTCTCACGAGGAGTCCAGCCATTCTCCCGACTCTCGCACATAACCACCCACGCATTTCTCATTTTACGAGAAAGTTGGGGCTTCACTAATACATTGAATTGTAATAAATATTGGTGAATGGATCCCTGATTACTCTGCGTGGGTTCGAATCCCACTGAGATTAATTGATGTTTAAAAAAATGATAGGCTCCGACGACTGAACCACTGCATGCAAGTCCAAGGACGCGTGATCGGACGAAAAGCCGTGATACACCATACCGTTAAGCTGACTTATCGGCTTTCCTCTCCCCTGGGATTAAATTATATCTCATCTAACCCACTCGGACAAATTTATAAGCGTTCAGTGTCGCTGTTCGATAACCATTCCATGAGGCTTCCCTCCCTCAGTAAAACAAAATTATCATTTTCTCGTAATTTGTATACGGTTGTGTTTTTTCTACTATTCAGAATATATATACTGAGTTGACTTCGAAATTTTCAATCAAATAGCTTGGCAATCTATTTTTTGGAAAATTTTTAGTTTAATAACAACAGTGTATCTAAAGCTGAAATGATATAGAATAAGTTTATTTCCAGTATTTTTCGCTGATAAGTGGTTATATGCTTTTAAGCAAATCGGAGGTTATCATTATGTAAACTGTTTTGCAAGGTCTACCTAGAAAAAATATTTACCAAATTTCCAAAAGTTTAGTGATGGTAAAGCATACTAGCAAAGGGGTTTTACAAAAGTCAACTGTAGAAAAGACACAGATTTTTTGACATAATTTAGTTCAGAAAATAAAATGTGAAAGATGGTGGTCACAGAAGCGTTATTTATTTTTCAATACTTCATTAGTAGACGACTTACACTTGTTTCACAAAAATGGGGTAAAAAAATATATAATTTTGCCCATCTGACAGTCGAACGAGATAAAGAACTACATTGAGAATTGTTGAGATGTCATATTTGATTCAGTGAATGATAATCGAGTTAATTTTCGTGTTTCTTGTTGCGAAAAACCCAATATTCAGAAGTGTCAGATTTAGGCACACAAAGGTTCAATATCATAATCTTTTATTGTGAAGAAAAAACTATTGACGGCAAATATAATGTAATATTTATTAGTAAATTGAGGGCGGACTAACAATGCATTTAGAGAAGCGTATTGAGAAAAAGTTCAAGAATCACGGTCCTAGCAGGGTAAATAAATCGGATTCAATACCCTTCGCCCAATATGTGAGAAATAATGCCCAATAAAACAATTATTACTTTCACTTATTTTCTAATGTAAATTAAAACACAGAAAATGTTATAATACTTAATCACATTCCAACAATAATCACGACTCAATGTTACTCAAAATATAGACAGGTCCAGCTGTTTGATGCACAAATGCGCGTAGCTGATATTATGTACATAAATGCCAAAATTATAATTATTTCAAATTATTTCATCATAAGAAAACTACGTGAATCATTTAAAAAAAAATTTCAATTCAATTTTACTTTTTGAAAACAATAAAAGTAAATTTTAAAATCATTGCGATTCAATTATTTTTATCCTTGGGTAGGATTTCTTTTCTACATTATTCATGCTTCTAGAATCTAGAGTCTTTTGCGTGTGTGAATCAGCAAATGTTTTTCTAACGATTCTTTCCACATTGTTTATAAACAAAGCCTCTCTGCAGTATGATGAGTTCGCTCATGCGAACTGGAACTGTGTGAACTGGATACATGAGAAAATTCCCTTTACACACATAAGGTTTCTCACCTTTATGAGTGCGCGCCCTTACCACGTTGTTTACAAATATAAAGTTTTTCTCCAGTATGATGACTTCGCTCATGCCTATGTAAATCGGTTGAATTCAAAAAACCTTTACCACATTGTTTACAAACATAAGGATTATCTCCGGTATGATTTCTCTCATGAACATATAAATTAGATGATTGCGAAAACCCTTTACCACATTTATTACAAACATATGGCTTCTCCCCAGTATGAGTTCGCTCATGCGCTTTCAGTGTAAATAATTGCGAAAAACCCTTTCCATATTGTTTACAAACATGAGGTTCCTCCAGTATGAATTAGCTCATGAGCCGACATATGAGATAGTCGCGGAAATTTTCTTCCACGTTGTTTACAAACATAAGAAATCTCTATAGTATCATGAGATTCATTAGTTTGCTCATGCCTAAGTAAACTCGATACATGCGAAAATTCACTACCACATTGTTTACAAACATAAGGCCTCTCTCCAGTATGAGTTTCCTCATGCACTTGTAAATTGAATAATCGCAAAAAAAAACTTTCCACACTGTTGACAAAAATAAAGTTTCTCTCCAGTCCGATGAGTTTGCTCATGTTTATGTAAACTTGATACATGAGGAAATTTACTCCCACATTCTTTACAAACATAAGGCTTTTCTCCGGTATGAATTCGCTCATGGATATGTAAATTAGATATGTGCAAAAAACCTTTACCACAGTGTTTACAAACATAAGGTTTCTCTTCCGAATGTGTTCGCTCATGCACGTGCAAACCAGTTGATTGCGAAAAGTTCTTGCCGCATTGTTTACAAACATAAGGCTTCTTTCCAGTGTGAGTTCGCTCGCGCCTATGTAAATCAGATATGTTTGAGAATCTTTTTCCACATTGTTCACAAACACAAGGCTTTTCTCCAGTATGAATTCGCTCATGAACATTTAACGTAGATGATTGCGAAAATGCTTTACCACATTTTTTACAAATATAAGGCTTCTCTCCATTATGAGTTTGCTCATGCCTATGTAAATTAGATACAGTGATAATTTCCCTACCACATTCTTTACAAATATAAGGCCTCTCTCCAGTATGAATTCGCACATGCGTTTGTAAAGTAGATGAATACAAAAAAGCCTTCCCACAATCTTTACAAATATAGGGTTTCTTTTCAGCATGAGTTTGTTCATGCACACATAAGTTGAATAAATCTTTTCCACCTCGTCTACAAAGATGAGGTTCATACTCACAATGGGTTTCTACATTTGACCGAGCTTTTGTGTTGGTGTGAACAATGACATTAAACAACATGATGCGCAACTCCGGCATTTTTGGCCGAAGATCGTATTCGATAGCACGCTCCAATGCACATACTTGACGAGACGAAAACGAGCGGAGTGTGTTGCTTTCAAGGCATCGCACGAATGGTGTTCGAGCCTGCTTCGACAATTGTTGTGGTTTTTAATGATATGTGGAAAATTGAAGGTAAAAATAAATCGGAAAAAAGTAAGGTAAATACTATTGTTGTATATCACACCCGGGCATCGCACTGTTAAGTACATGCGGGAAAGCCAGCTTTTGTCAAATACTACGAAGTTATTAATTCAGTACGGTACGTAGTTGCCCATTTGCCGAAATTGCATATTTACTTACCCCTTATGGTTTCAAATAGTTCGTGCACCTCCATTTAGATTTTTTTAATCAGTGAGGATATATACTTATTGCTGTAACATACTATTGCTCATTCACTTTTATTTGCGTATTGGATCAACGGGTTAACAAGTTCACCTAAAATTTCACTCATACCGGTCTATATTGTATAGTCTGATCTCTCAGGTATTTGGAGCCACGAATGTTATAATTTTCTGACTAAAACCCCTTTATTAGTTGGTTTATATACCAAATTCAGTAAAACATTTTTTACAAAAAACATAAGATATTGGATTTATTAGCTTTTCCATTCTGAATCATATAGACTGCTTTATTTATTCTTAACGAAAATTGCTACATCTCCTCTCCTACAGATGTGAAAGTTGTGGACAGACCTGTCTAAGCATTGTGAGACTCCTGCAGCACAAGAGGCAATAGCAATAATAGTGAGTATATCAATCAAGAAATTAGGCCGACATAAAACAAAACTTTCAACTATTCGTCTAACCTCAATTTCCTATTATTTATTCACAGGACAACTGTAGCTGAAGGGGCGATATCAGAAGTCTGGCGACATATCAGTGACAGTTTGATTCCAAGAAATATGATTAGAATACTCCATAAATGTTTGCAATAGAAGAACAACCTATGGAGGAATGCAAAGACATTTGACCCTCCGGTAAAGTTGTGTATGGCCCCTACATCCTGCAGGGCTTGAGGGAAATAACTAAAATATCTAAAGCGTAAGATTGCATAAGCGGTCTTCTTTGCAAAAAGGCACAAAACATGCCAGACATACTTAAAACAGCTTTGAAAAATGAGGATTACGGGCCACTGACTATACCTGTGTTATATTTGGTTCATTAAATTTTGGTAGTACTATAGAAGAAATTCAGGAAAGGGTATAATCATGATTCATGATAAAATAATGTTATATATTTTGGACAACTTCAATCTAGACCAGGGATGTGAAACTTGCGGCCCCAGAGAACTTCCAGTGCGGCCCTCGAACGCTTAACAATAATTGTAATAGTATTTTTGAATTTTTTTTCATTTAAATGTAAAAGATTTTTCAAACCTTTTAAAGTGAAATTGAATATTCACAGAGAAAACAATTTACTGAAAGTAGTTTTAGAAAGTTAATTTTTTTTTGTTCACATTTTGACTCAATAAAGAATACACATCAAGCTAGCAAAAAGAATACTGAATAAAACACTTTGAGTGATTAAATTAAAGTACATGAAGAAGGTGGCATTTTCGAAGAAAATGGAGTTGCAATATTTCTGCATTTCACAAAATTCTGAAGCACATTGTTAAATTTGTCATATTTCCACCAGTACAATGAAAAAACACAATAAGCTCAGCAGTCAATATGACAAATTCGAAGACCAACTCCGAACAGAAAATTTCCATGTGTTTGTATATTAATATAAATATACAACGACTTAGTTACTAAAATCAATATCAATAATAATTCAAGCAATCCTATGCCATGCAATGTAGCCCGAAATGTCTTGTCGAAAAATCTGCCATTTGTTTTTTACTGATCTATACATGAAATGATAAAAGTAACTTTTTTGCATTACTGGAATTAATTAAACTTTTGCAAAGATACAGATTAACCCATGATCATGTGACCCTCGTTAGTTAGAGTTGGTACTATAAAATCATTTCAGCCTGGCCTTAGTATGCTGGTGACACAAAGAAGATGCAAACGTCAGGACAAATGTAATTAAAAAAAAACATTGAGTTTATACTGTAGTATTTTTTGTTAATTTTAGGTTCATATATTTAGATTAAGTCATTTTTTAGTGTATGTATTATTCTTCCTTAACCAACGCTTGTTCAAAAATGATTTTGATGGTTGTACATGGAATTTTATGATTTTTGTAATAAATACAGTAACTTGCAATAATAGTGGAATGCAAATATTAATATGTAATTGCATTTTGAAATTAAAGAAAATAAAAAAACTTAATCCAACTGATTAGTTGCATCACAATATATGTCACAAACTAAAACTATCTGAAAAATATCTTTCAAGTATACATTATCAAAAACTGTTTGCGGCCCTTTTACAATTTCTAACATGCAATGCGGCTCTCCGAAAACCCATGAGTTTGACACCACTGATCTATTCTCGACGATTCAAGCATTGCTTTGGAAATAATATCACTTCAATTAAATTGAAAAAAAATCTCGCTATATTAAATACAAAACCGTTGCTATCATAAAGGTAAACCAATTCAGCTATTCGTTATATATTGGCCTTCACAAGCAATGGAGGCAGAATTTGAGAGTTCATGAGCTATGAACTTTTGTTCTTTTCTTTGTCTTGAACTTTTCATAACTTCACAGCCTCTATTAATTTTTTTTTTAATTTTAATTACCATGTGATGGTCATACATACTGTATCTTTTGTATTTTCTGTCATGATGTATTATCTCAATGTGTCAAACTTTTAATTAGTGTGTATATTTTGCTTCCAGATGACATAAATGTATTGTCTTGCTTATTACCTCAGCTTGGAGTATTGACAAGAAAAAGTGCCCGTAGATTACGTAAAAAATGTTTAACTCTTTGTTATAATCAGAATTCACATTTAATAGGAATTATAAACAGCCAACAATCAATGAGAATTATATGCCAAATCCTTCAAAATAAATTTGTCTTCTAAAGTCGGAGGAAGGCAAAACATATAGGTAGTTTCCATTCAACACAAGTTTTTAATAAGACTTGCTCGAGAACAAACTAAATGAGCATCGTCAGGTGATCGGTAAGGCTGCAAGTTGAATCAGCCCTGCAATCTCCTGCATAGAAGATAATATTAATTAGCGGGCTATGAGCTAAATTTCTAAATTTAGACACAAACCTATCTATGAGGCATTATGTACCAGCAATGTTACCCTTACGATTAACTGAATATGTAATATGTCCTAATAAATTCACCTAATAAAGCAAGTTCGATAGTTTCAAACTTTGTGTTTTGGAATTGTATCACAGCACCTTTAAGAGAAGTAAAAACAGTTTTGCTGTTTTGTATCACACCCTCTTTAAAAGAAATTTCAAAGTTTAAGCGCAAACATTAAAATTACTAACTTAGAACTTTGTCATTATCTGCAAAATGTTTCACACAAATATTTACGCTATCGCGTTTGTAATATTCTCTGATATAAAAAAACGTCTATGATGTTCAGAATTACTCTTTACAGCTTGTCTGCCATTCTTGCTTTCCAAATGAGCAAAACTTCTCAGATATAGAGATTATTTTCTTTCGTTACAGGCGCAAAAAGGCAGGTACTACACGTAAAGAAGACGCCGAGTAGCAAAAGCAAGCGGAAAACCGTCGCGAAAGGCGACGAGAAATATGAGCATTAGAGCGTATCATGAAATACAATCTTTCGCATGTAGTCTTATGGAGTGACGTCAGAGTTGCCTATCATGTTGTTTAATGTCATTGGTGTGAACAAGTGACTGATTTTGCAACTTTCCGTCCAGAAGAGAGGTTACTTTTATTTCATGACAATTACGTGGTTTGTCAGTCTTATCAATGACATTAAACAACATGATAGGCAACTCTGACGTCACTCCATAAGACTACATGCGAAAGATTGTATTTCATGATACGCTCCAATGCACATATTTCTCGTCGCCTTTCGCGACCGTTTTCCGCTTGCTTTTGCTAATCGGCGTCCTCTTTACGTTTAGTACCTGCCTTTTTGCGCCTGTAACGTAAGAAAATAATCTCTATATCTAAGAAGTTTTGCTCACTTGGAAAGCTGGAATGACATACAAGCTGTAAAGAGTAAAATGGACATCATAGACTTTTTTTTTTATCAGAGAAGATTACAAACGCGATAGCGTAAAGATTTGTGTGGACATTTTGCAGATAATGACAAAGTTCAAAGGTAGTAATTTTAACGTTTGCGCTTAAACATTGAAATTTCATTTAAAGAGGGTGTCATACAAAACAGCAAAACTGTTTTTACTTCTCTTAACGGTGCTGTGATACAATTCCATAACACAAAGTTTGCACCTATCAAACTTGCCTTAGTAGGTGAATTTTTTGGACAAATTTATTGTGAGGGATTTCGCATGTAATTCTCATGATTGGTGGCTGTTTATAATTCCTATTAATTGTGAATTCTGATTATAACAAAAAATTTACTGGCACCTTTTTCTTGTCAATACTCCAAGCTGAGGCAATAAACAAGACAATACATTTATGTCATCTGGAAGCAAAATATGCACACTAATTAAAAGTTTGACACATTGAGATAATACATCATTACAGAAAATACAAGTTAAAGATATGTATGACCATCACATGGTAATTAAAATTAAAAATAAAATTAATAGGGGCTGTGGAGTATGAAAAGTTCAAGACAAAGAAAAGAACAAAAGTTCATAGCTCATGAACTCTCAATTTTGCCTCCATTGCTTTGTGAAGGCCAATATATTCCAGTGGCTGAATTGGTTTACCTTTATGATAGCAACGATTTTGTATTTAATACGGCAAGATTTTTTTCAATTTAATTGAAGTGATATTATTTCCCAAAGCAATGCTTGAATTGTCTAGAATAGATCAGTGGTGTCAAACTCATGGGTTTTCGAGAGCCGCATTGCATGTTGGAAATTGTAAAAAGGGCCGCAAACAGTTT